ATCCAGCACAGATGCTAATACATAATTAAAACCCAGGCAATTTAAATTCAGATTATAGGTTTTTGCTACTCACTCATCAGTAAATGTTGGTTACCTCCATGTGGATAAACACACATCAAGCGCACTGTCTCAGTGATAACACAGGATTCCATTTCAAGGGCATGACAATTTATAGACCAGCCTTCCGTTGTTGAGCTTTTAGGTTGTTTATAGTTTTTCAGTGACCTAAACATTGCCATGATAAACATCCCCTATGTGCTGTGTTACATGCTTGTCTTCTTATTTTCTTAGAGGATTTATTTCTGTGTGTGTGTCTTTGCAAGCATGCCCCTGTATGCACGGGGCCGAGGCCAGAAGAAGGTGTCAGGTGTTCTCCACCACATTCTCTACTTATTCCTTCGAAGCAGAGTGAACCTGTTCATATTTTCTGAAGCAGGTTGGAAGCCAGGAAGCCCCAGTGATCTTCCTGTCTCCATCCTCCCTTGGAGCTGGGGTTATGGGTGTGGGGGACACCTGGCTTGTTATGTGAGTGCTGGGAGCTGAACTCTGGTCCTCATGGTTATATACCCACTGATCCATCTTCCCAGCACCACTTTTTGAAACTTCATATAAATTTTGAAATTGCAGTTCAGGAAGAATGTTTAACACTCCCATGTTACCTTTCTGCCACTAGGACAGTTTTGAAGATGCCTCCCAGCCAGGTGAGAAATGAAGCAAAACTGATAGTTCACAAGAGGAATGTGAATGCCGATAAGATGTTTTTAAGAATAGTGTTTGAAAGTCTTGGTGTTTATGTCAAGAAATGCTTTGTTGTTAAACCATGGACCTCTCTGCTTTTCGTATGTCAAAGTATCTTGACTTTTTCTTCTTTATGTATAATTTTGTGGAAAAACAAATACTCAATTTCAACTATTCAGCCTATGTTCTACTATTATTCACAGGGTAGCTTTTTAAATCTACTATAATGGAGATGGAGGGATGGCTCAGTGGGTATAAGTGTTTGTGACCAAGCCTGATGATCTCAGTTCAATCCCTGGAACTCATATGGTAGACAACGCCCACAAACTGTCCTCTGACTTTGGCATGCGTACACAGACACTAACCAAACAAATAAATACATAAAATGTTTGAAATACACTAGAATGATGGGATAGGAAACAGCTAAAAGAGAATTTTAAGGCAATCTTTTGATGCTTTTTAATAATCATTAAAAAAATAGAATGTACTAATTTAGTTAAAATTTTTCTCCAAAGGTTAAAGACAAGCTAGAAAGATGACTTAGCAGTTAAGATCACTGACTGCTCTTGCAGAAGAACCAGGTTTGGGTCCCAGAACCCATATGGCAGCTAACAACCAGCCATAATTCCAATCCCAGGGGAATCCAATGCCCTCCTCAATGCCTTCTCTGCAGGCATTGCACAACACAGGTGCACTTAAACACATGCAGGCAATGCATTCATACACACAAAATAAAGATAATAAATATATATTTTTTAAAGTTAAAGACACTAAATTTATATTGTATTTTGAGAGACTGGAACGATGGTGCAATGGTTAAGAGCACTGGCTACTTTTACAGAGGACCAGGGTTCAGTTCCCAGAACCCGTTTGGTGGCTCAAAAGAGTCCATAACTCCAGTTTCAGGGGCTCCAGTGCACTTTTCTGTCCTCCTCTGGCTTTACATGCATGGGTACACTTACATACATGCATTCAAAACTCTCATACACAGAAAAATAAATAATCTTTAAAGAAAAATAAATAAATTATATTTTGAGGGCTGGGGACATAGCCCAATGGTAGCATGTCTAGCGTGCATGACAACTTGTGTTCAATTTTCGGCACCAAAATAAATAAATTGTACATTGGGTCTAATGCTTCAGTATGCTGTCTAAAACTTCAGATAATGTGGTTTTGAAGAGGGATTTGTTGTAAGAAAATGAGGTTCAGTAAAGACAAGCCCTTTCTCCCTCCTCCCCCATGCTTTTGGCTCAGGAGAAGATGAAAAGGGCTATTTGGGGGACAGGGCTGCCAACAGAAGAGAATCCCTATAAACGACTTTGGCAGAAAGCCTCCATCCAAAGAGAAAGGACGCAGCCTGTCTTCAGCCAGGGCAGGAGGATGAGCTCTAGGCAAAAGCAATGTCCCTGTGAGCAGGGGTGGCCACCAGTGGCCTATGCAGGTGGATACTGCCTTGTAGAAGTCCAAGGAACTATGAGATGACTGCTGTGAAGAAGTTGTGATATTCTACACTGGGTCACAGGGTTCCCTTACTCGTCATTACAGACACGATAATGAGTAATAAATGCATGGTGTATAAATACTATAAGCCTAGGTTGTTTTCTGGCCCCATTCCCTTTTTCCCCAAAATATAGATCAACTATACCACTACAAAGGTGAATTTGAACAACATTCCTATCTTTAATTTCACAGTGCTTTGAAAACCTTTTGCAGTGCTACATATACAAAAAGCACTTTTTTTTTTTTTTTTTTGGTTTTTTGAGACAGAGTCTCCGTGTAGCCCCAGCTGGCCTGGAACTCAATATGTAGACCAGGCTAGCCTCAAACTCACAGAGATCCACCTGCCTCTGCCTCCCAAGTGCTTGGATTAAAGGCGTGCACCATCAGGCCTGTCTACAAAAAGCATTTTTTGCTCATTGTATTTCTGGGGTGGGCCTGAATAAGTGTATATACATACTGTGTTCATCTTACCTTTACAAACTGGTGCGTGCGTGCATGCGTGTGGGGGGGGGTGGTGTGCACATGCATGTAGAGGCTAGTGGACAATCGGGTGTCATTCTTTAAGTCCTATTTACCTTTTAAAAATATTTTGTTTCTTATTTTTATTTTATGTGTGTGAGTGTATTGCCTGTATGCACCTCTGTTGTGCAGTGCCCACAGAGGTCAGAAGAGGGCAGCAGATCCCCTGGAACTGGAGTTACAGATGGTTGGGAACTACCATGTGGGTGCTGGGAACCCAGGTTCTCTGTAAGAGCAGCTAGTGCTCTTAACCACTGAGCCATCTCTCCAGACCCCTCTTTTTTTAAAGACAGAATCTCTGGCTGGCCAGTGAGCCCCGGGAATCTGCCTGACTCTGCCTCCCCAGAGCTAGAATTACAAGTGCAATGCCTGATTATTATTATTATTTATTTGTTTGTATATGGGGGGGCATGTACCATGGCAAATATTTGGAGGTCAAAGCACAATTTGTGGGAATCAGTTCTATTTTTCCATTCTATTGGTCCCAGGGATTTAACTCAGGTTATCAGGCTTAGCAGCATTTGCCTTTACCTACTGGGGAGCTATCTTGCTAGCCCCTATGTTTGTTTATTTTTATTATTTTTATTTTATGTGTATGAGGTGTAATGTTTGCATGTGTGTAAATGCACCCATGTTGTACAGTGTCCACGGAGGTCAGAAGAAGGCATCAGATCCCCTGGAACTGGAATTACAGAGGTTGTTAGCCACCATGTGGATGCTGGGAATTGAACCTGGGTTTTCTGTAAGAATACTCAGTGCTCTTAACCACTGAGCTATCTCTCTAGCCCCTGTTTATTTTTAATATGAGTGCTGAGATTTGAACTTAGGTCCTTATGTATGCAAGACAAACGCTTCATTGAATGAGTACTTCCCCAATTTCCCCAATCCGGAATAAATTTTTCTTTCCCTCCCTTCCTCCCTCTCCCCTTCTCCCCCTCTCCCCTCCTCCCCTCCCCCCCTCTCTCTCCCCCACCCCCTCTCCCTCTCCCTCTCTTTCTTTTTTCTAAGCTTGGTCTTGCTATATAATCCTGGCAGACCTGGTTTTCACCATGTGGCCCAGTTTGACCTCAAATTCATGGCACTCCTCCTGCCTCAGCTTCCTGAGCTACAGGTGTTTGCCATTATTCCCACCTTTCAAAATGACCCATTCAATTAAGGAAATTGCTATCTGTTTGAATAAATTTCTTGGAAGAATGAATGACAGCTCAGCTCTCCCATCCTTGTATAATTACGTGTGCAAGTGCTGTGGAATTGCTGGTTCTGTGTGGTTAGATGTGATGTACATGGGCGGTTAGCAAGATAGTCATAAAACCAACTTGAGTGTCTATTTCCAATTGATCCAGACACTGAGTGGTGTGGTAGAGAGTCACACACACTCCCAGAGACATAGACAGTGGAAGAGCTTCCAAAGCAAAGCTTTCCTCATCCAGGTAGCAAGCCTTCTGAGTATCTCCTCTATGCTAGACCTTCATCAGAACTCATTCCTCCTCCATCAGGCCTCCTGGTCCCCTCCCTTCTCACAAGTTTGGATCATTTTCTTGTGAAGACTCAAATTCTTTAGCTCTATTCTTGAAGGCCCTGCTAGGGAAAAATTTTATTTGTAATAAATAACCTTTTAAATTATAAAGTAAATAAACCCTAAGATGGAAATTTTAGAGGAAAAAGCAAAGATTCTATCATGAACGTTTCCTTATATTTCTAGAGACTTGTAAACATTTTAATGGCTAGGTATTATTCCATTGTGTGCTTCCATTTTTTAACATTCACCAAATTATTCACATGTATGAACTTATTACATACATGAATTCATATTTATTGATCCTGTTTGAACTAGAATTATCTAAGGATATGATTTACTACTATATTATAACTGATAGAATATGGCTCATTTTTTAAAGAGGGTCAGTTTATATCATTCCACATAGGAGAGTCATTGTCAACATTTAAAAATTAAGAACACACACCTTACAGCTAAGGGCAGAAAACATCTATTTCACTCTCTGGCACATCTGCTTTGACACAATCATTATGTTCTTACTGCATTTGATGGATGGTCCCTCTGGTGTCCTCATTACAAAATCATAAGACCTGTGCCCAGACAATGCACTGAGACAGGTCATAAGCTGCTTAGGAACTTCCTGGGTTCTAGATAAAATTCTAGTGAGCTCTGTCTCCTCTATTCCAGTTTCCTTAACTCTAAGGCCCTGCCTGGCAGACTTTCATATTTCTCTGTTTCCTTTTAGATAATTCCTCCTCCCTCCAGGAAGATGAAGAAGTAGAGATGGAGGCCATCAGCTGGCAGGCCAGCAGTCCAGCCACGAATGGGCACTCTGCTCCTCCAGTGACCACTGCTCATTTCCCTAGCTGGGTCACATTTGATGACAATGAAGTTAGCTGTCCTTTGCCACCAGTCACCTCTCCTCTAAAGCCAAATACACCGTCCATTGCATCTGTGATCCAAGATGTACCTTATAACTCAAGTGGGTCATTTAAGAGGGACCGACCCAAGAGCACATTGATGAACTTTTCCAAAGCTCAAAAGCTGGACATTTCCTCCTTAAACCGCCCGCCTTCCATAACAGAGGCACCACCCTGGAGGGCCACCAATCCTTTCCTGAATGAGACTCTACAGAATGTACAGCCCTCCCCTATCAACCCTTTCAGTGCTTTCTTTGAGGAACAGGAACGGCGCTCCCAAAACAGTTCCATCTCCAGTACTACAGGCAAAAGCCAAAGAGATTCTCTCGTTGTCATCTACCAGGATGCTATCAGTTTTGATGACTCAGGCAAAAGCCAGTCCCATTCTGATGCTGTTGAGAAGCTCAAACAACTCCATATTGATGATCCTGACCACTTTGGCAGTGCTGCCTTGCCTGATGATGACCCAGTAGCCTGGGTTGAACTAGATGCTCACTCACTTGCCTCAGCTCTGTCCCAGTCGAGGGATGGGTGGCCAATGATGCTGAGGATCCCTGAGAAGAAAAACATCATGTCCTCTAGGCACTGGGGACCAATCTACATCAAACTGACAGACAGTGGTTACCTGCAGCTGTATTACGAGCAGGGCCTAGAAAAACCATTCCGAGAGTTCAAGCTGGAGATCTGCCATGAGGTTTCAGAGCCCCGGCTCCAAAACTATGATGAGAATGGGAGGATCCACAGCTTGAGGATAGACAGAGTCACCTACAAAGAGAAGAAGAAGTATCAGCCCAAACCTGCTGTGGCCCACACAGCAGAGAGGGAACAGGTGATCAAGCTGGGCACTACCAATTACGATGACTTCCTGAGCTTCATTCGTGCGGTTCAGGACCGTCTCATGGACCTGCCGGTGTTGTCCATGGACTTGACCACAGTTGGCTTGAACTACCTTGAAGAGGAGATTACGGTGGATGTCAGAGATGAATTCTCTGGCACCGTAAGCAGAGGCGATAACCAGATCCTCCAGCACCATGTCTTGACACGGATCCACATTCTGAGTTTCCTGTCTGGGCTTGCTGAGTGCCGCCTGGGCCTCAATGACATCCTCATCAAAGGAAATGAAATAGTTTCTCGGCAGGATATCATGCCCACCACCACCACAAAATGGATCAAGCTCCATGAGTGCCGTTTCCATGGGTGTGTAGATGAGGATGTGTTCAACAGCTCTCGCATTATTCTGTTCAACCCTTTGGACGCATGTCGATTTGAGCTGATGCGGTTCAGAACAGTGTTTGCCGAAAAGAACTTACCCTTCACGCTCCGGACAGCGGCGAGCGTCAATGGGGCGGAGGTGGAGGTGCAGAGCTGGCTGAGGATGTCACCTGGCTTCTCCTCTAACCGTGACCCTCTCACTCAGGTTCCCTGTGAGAACGTAATGGTTCGTTACCCAGTGCCCAGTGAGTGGGTGAAAAACTTCCGAAGGGAAAGTGTTCTGGGGGAAAAGTCTTTGAAAGCCAAAGTGAACCGGGGGGCAAGTTTTGGCTCAGCTAACATCTCTGGCTCTGAGCCTGTCATGAGAGTAACTCTGGGAACCGCAAAGTACGAGCATGCCTTCAACTCCATCGTGTGGAGGATAAACCGACTGCCTGACAAGAACTCAGGTAGGTAGAGTATCTTATCTGTGGAAGCAACCGTCGTGGCTGCTAAAGAGCTGGGATCAACCTTATATACCCTGTGCCTGTATGTAGTGTTTGATTATGCTGTATGGTGGAAATGTTGGTGTTGGGGAGGAGGGAACAGGAGAGTAGAAATATCTGCGCAAAATAAGTAACAACCGTAGTGATATCATAAAGGCCCAATACCATCTGTTCACCACCTTATCATACATCATCCATTAACTGTTTTATTCTACTTAGCTAAATGGCTACACAATTTTTAAAGGCAGCTTCTGAACTGTATATGTGTACAACTGTGTAGAGGCCATGAGGACATCATTCCTAGGGTGATGTATACTTTGTTTTTGAAACAGGGTCTGTCATTGGCCTAGAACCTGCCAGTTTGGCTAGTCTGGCTACCTAGTGAACCCAAGTTTCCCCAGCTCTGGAATTACAAGCATGCACCACCATGACTGCCTTTTTTTATAGCTATAATTGTTTTGTTTTGTCTGAGACAGGGTTTTCCCTGTAGCCCCAGCTGACCTGGAACTCACTGTGTAGTCCGGGCTGGCCTTGATCTCACAGAGATCCACCTGCCTCTGCCTCCTGAGTGCTGGGAATAAAGACATGTATACCCAGCTATATTTTTTTTCATGTGTATGAGTGTTTTGAATGCAAGCATGTAAGCACACCCATGTGTGTGCTGCCCACAGAGGCCACAAGAGGGGGACATGCCCTGGAACTAGAGTTATGCATGGGTGCTAGCTACCGTGTGGCTGCTGGAAACAACCCTGGTCTTTTGGAAGAGCACCCCGTGCTCTTAACCAGTGGGCCGTCTCTTTAGCACTCGTGCCTGACTTTTCTTTTCTTTTTTTTTTTTTTTTTTGACGTGGGTTCCTGAGATCAAACTCGGACCTCTCTGCAAAGCACTTTACTTACTAAGCTCTCTCTCTAGTCTCTTGAAGTTTTGTTCTTTTGGAACTCATAAGTATTAGCTGTGATACTGAAAGCAATTCATTTCCAGATCCTGGAAGGCTTGTGGGTTCTGAAGACATATCTTTCTGACCATCCTCTGGATGAAAGTGAAAGGGCCAGTTTATGTCTAATCATGGACACAGTATACATGAGCACTGAGACTTTGGGTTCAGCTGCTCTGTCAGTCATAATATCTCAGACTCAGAGCCTGGCTTTGGGATCATGATGAGAAAGAGACTAAACATCCAGAATATCAAGGTCAAAAGGGCCAAAGTTCTACCAGACAAAGTAAAGAAAGGAATGTTTGATTTAAACAAACTTACCAACTTCACTGCCCTGCTCACAGCTGGGGGAGGGAGGCGCTGTTCCTGTGCCTCAGCAAGCCCAGAAGACAGTTATGTCCCTCACAGGTGCAAGACAAATGACAAAATGAGGCAGCAGTCAAAAGAATAGCTTTATTTCTTCAAGTTCAGCTGATTGACTCTGTGGCAGGCAAAGATCCTGTGATCCCATGAGCCTTTAAACCACTTTTCTTCTTGTTTGTAATAAATTATGCCCATCTGTTAAGGAAAGCGTATTGCCTAGTCAGGCCCCCCAAAAAAATCTAAGCTTGAAATCCTGGCTGAAATGGCACACCCATGCTTTTTTGCATGTCACTGTTAAATCCTTATTGTGTATTTGAACTGTTCCTCTCTTGCTCCAAGTATGGAGTGGCTGTGTTATCACATCTTAAATGGAATTTGATGTGATAGCAAGAGGCGCGCAGTCTAATGTATGCAGTCTAATGCACTCACACTGGGCATTCTGTGTCAGACACTGGGTATACTGGTGCAGACTGAAGAGACAATCGACCTCTGTGCTGGAGGCTGGGGTGGCCACCCTGTAACTGCTTCTAAACTGACAGAACTTTTAAAACAAAGTCTTCCTGTCTGCTTGCTTACTCATTTCCACAGTGCTCAGTGCTGTATTTTCCTAGTGTTTTCTGCCTCAACCATGGGGACCTGTCTGACTTGATGGGGGGAAGGTAGGGGATCCATGAATTCTCCTTTGGCACAGAAGACCTTGGGAAGAGAAAGCTATAAAGTACTGGGTTTTCAAGGTGGAAGGGACCTTAGGGATCACTCAGTTAAACTTGTTCATTCTTCCAATTAGAGATGTCAATCTGAGAGGTAACATTACCCATCTGAAGTCACAAAGCCACATACAGGAGTTTTTTCTCAGTACCATAGGTCCTCCTCAAAGAAGAAGCCACAGAGATGCATGCCTCAAGTAATTTCTACTATGAGAACAAGGATTTGGAGTTTTCCCAATGTGTACAAACAATCTCATAGTGACTTAAAAAGTACTGTGTGAAGGTTTTTTGGTTATATCTAGCAAGGACTAAACAGGGGGAACAAGGTTGACAATATGAATACCTCATTGAACTAAAGGAAAGATTAAACAACAGACATTGGAAAAGAGAGCTCCAGGGAAGCCTGGCCACAGAGACAAATGGATGTCACCTCAAGGGTATAGCCAGAGACAAAGTTTCACCATCAATTTTCAGTCCTTGTGTCAGCTAGCTCAGGTTGACAAGTGGCCAGAGCAATCAGGATGACATATACGATTATTGACCACGTAAGATTATTGATCAAAGAGAGATGAAGAAGAAGATTGCTCCCAGGATAAAGGGATAATGGACAGAGGGCAGAAAGAATCATAGATCTTCAGCAAATGTATTTCTTAATGCTTCCAGCAGAGAGCATTCAGTAGCCTCAGGCCAAATGACAGGCTGGTTATATAATATACACACATTACTAGTTTACCAGAATCTTACTTGTGGGAGATTTTTGTTATGCAGGACAGCATGAGACTATCTGGAGATGTTTCTTACTTAAGTCCCCCTCCCCCATTATTACTTCAGATGACATGGTTTTATAATATTTTTAGTAGTAAAACCTCCGGAGAGGCCACAATTCCTACCAGCCAATGGCGTTGCATCTCTCTGCCTGTTCAGGTGCTTGAGAGCATCCTTTCCTGGAAACTTGAGATGCACAGGGTCTGCATCCTGGTCAGACTACACATTCCTGCCATGGCTAGCAATCACTGCTCAGCCCCTGTACTCCCATTCATAAAACCAGAGAATTGGTGATGATCTATTAGTAACAACCCCTTTTCCGAGTTTATCTGTCTAGGTATTGGACATCCTTGGTAAGTTGCCTTTTACAGGTCATTTTTCATAATAACCACCACTCCATTACAGCGAAGGAGCCTGGGTCCCAACCAAGATCCAAAGGTTACCCACAGCCCACAGAACAAATCCTTCTGCTTCCACGGGTTGCATACTAAGCAGTGAAAACACTGAGTCCTGCACAGATAGCTTTCTTTGAGGGAATCCTAGCTCTCATTATACCAGGTAAAGGGAAAACACACCCAATACAATAGGCATCTTATTGAAAAGAAATCTGAATTTTAATGTTAAATTATTATTATTATTATTACTATTATTATTATTTTTTTTTTTTTGGTCCTTCTGAGACAGGGTCTCCCTGTAGCCCCAGCTGGCCTGGAACTTGCTATGTAGACTAGACTGGCCTCAAATTCACAGAGATCCACCTGCCTCTGCCTCCTGAGTGCTGGGATTAAAGGCGTGCAACACTATGCCTGGCTTAATGTTACATTTTATCAAGAAAAATGAGTTACCATGGATTAAACTATACCACATTTCAAAATTTTGTGTTGCCCTAACTGTCTATCACCCTTACACATCCAATAGTTGAGGCTAGGAATCCAGGAAAAAAAAAATACTGCTTTCAGAGTTTGCTGTGAATATGCTTTGAGACAATCAGAAGAGGGAGTCGCTTTTTTAAAAAGAAACCATTTCTTAATATTCCAACAATGTCAAATAAAGCTAATTAGATAAAAAATAATTGACGTTGCTATTGAATTAAGAGGTGTTTCTCTGTGCACTGTGGTGATCTAATTCCAAGGCAATATACTGAGAACCGTTTAGGACCTAGTTTGGAGTCAGTGAGATCTGAGCATTATTCTCACTCAGTTCTACTGCTTCAAAGTGGCATGACCTCAGACAATTTACTTAACCCTCTTGGAGAAATCTAATTTTCCTCTTCTACAAAATAGGATTATTAATACCTAGCTCATTCAGAATGAAATTAAGTAATGCTTTTAAGTGTATAGCACAGTATCTGGCCAATAATCAGTGCTTAGTGAAAATGATAAATGACAGCTCTGTAATTACATCTGTGGCACAACAGAAAGATATTGTGAATGGATTCGTTTTCAGATACTATAATTTTTATTATTTTATGTATCTGACTTAAATTCCTTTGTTAAAAACCAGTGCAGATTTTTCAAGTTGTTACATTTTTGAAACAGAAAAACACATACTTCACTCTAGTGTTTTCCTTGGAGAAAGGGTATGCATCTCCTTATTCTCTGAGATTGCAAAGTCCTGCCCAGAGCAATAAAGAAAATCGGAATTGTTGACTTGGATAAACGGGGGGGGGGGGGGGGGGGAGTAAGGCACTCTTTCCGTTTTTCTAATTAAGTAAAGCCATTTCACGCTGTTTAACTGTAGTCAGTTGCTGCTCTCCATCCATTCTGTCACACTGCAACCTGGTCCTGAAGTTTGGGGACCATGAGGTTATAACTCAGACAAACCAGTGAACGGTCCACAGTCAGGTGGTTTAGCACATTGCTCTGCTATTTTCTGTGACCTGGGCCAGCTTGCCCCCACAAGCTCAGTGTAAAGTGACCCCAGGGATTGTGACAAGGTGCAGTGAGGGAATCTGAGTGAAGCAGTGAGCACAGTAGCAGGCCCAGGGCACTCAACAAACATTTCCTGCTGTGTCTGATAGAGGGGGATGATGCTTGAATGGTGTAGTTGCAGAACTCAACTCTTTTTCCTCAAAAATTTAATAATCCGCAAATGAAAAGCAAATCCCAAGTTTACTATCTAAGTACAGTTGACTTACCCATATGTATTAGTTACTTTTCTGTTGCTGTGATAAAACACCGTGACCAAGGGAACTTATAGAAGGAAGAGTTTATTTAGCTTACAGTTCCAAAGGGGCAAGAGTCCACCATGGCAGGGAGGCATGGCGGCAGAGGTGGCTGGAGGAGAAGTTAAGTGCTCACATCTTCAAGCAGGCACAGGAAGCAGAAAGCAACTGGAGATCTGGCAAGGCTTAAGAACTTTCTAAGCCCACCCCCAGTGACCTGCTTCCTCCAGCATGGCCACACCTTCTAACACCTCCCAAAACAGCACCACCAAGTGGGGACAAAATGCTCAAATACTTGGAGCCTATGGGGATATTCTCATTCAAAGAACCACACCATAGGTTTAGAATTGAAGAGCCGGAAGGTGCTGTGTCAGGTGTCTATTGTCCAACCTACCCTTTCATAGCCCTCCTCGACATCCCACTTTCCAGATAAGGAAATGAGGCCAGGAGAGAACAAAGGGCTTGACCATTTAGTAGAACTGGAAGTCCCCTGCCCCCCCCCCCCCCCCCCCCCGCCGTGATCTCACTGCCGATCAGATGATCTGTCCTGTGCACCAGACTCCCCGTTCTGTGCATGCTGTCTATAAGTCTGTCACTTTCATATATCATCTACCCACACAAACATGCCTGAGACATCTCTGAAAATACAAAATGCTATTAAGAAAACTGATCTTTCAAAGGAAAGCAATTTTGCTTCAGGTAGCTGTCACTAATATTAAGTGCCAAGTGCTGATCCCATCTCTTCCAGTCTGCAGCCCCTCTTTCCTAATGTTTATGCTGTGTCCACATAGCTCTCTCATCTGAACAGGCAAAATGGCCCCCGTTTCTCAGGCTGAGGGTTTTATTGCTAGGATACCAGACTGCAGTAATCAACTGGCATTGTATCAAAGAAAGGGTCTAAGGCACACGGAGACTGATTTCTGTCGAGAAAAGCCCTCTGTTCAGCATTGGACCCTTTGAAACTGCCAGGTACAGGCCTTGGGGATCTCCTTTGTTATCAAGGTGGCTCTTTGGCCCTTTTTCCTTTTAAGTTTCATTTACAAAGAACCTGATCTCTGGATTCTTTCTTTCTCCCATAGCTTCTGGTCACCCACATTGTTTCTTTTGCCACCTTGAACTTGGCTCTGACCGGGAAGTGCCTTCCAGATTTGCCAGTCACGTGAATGTTGAGTTCAGCATGCCCACAACTTCTGCCTCCAAAGCCACTGTGAGATCCATCTCTGTGGAAGACAAGACTGATGTCAGGAAGTGGGTCAATTATTCCGCACACTACAGCTACAAGGTAGCCTCCGGGGGCTTTTGGCTAATGTATCCAAGTCCATTTGTTCATACCTCTACCCCCACCCCCACATTCTTTTCAGCAAATGCTTACCATTGGGTATAGTCTATTAAAGAAGTTTACATTCATAGCTATGGATGAGTCTGCTTTGATTTCAATGAAACAATCTCTCTTGTGTAAGAGAAAGGGTTGGGAAAAAATTAGAGGGCTGACGATGGAGAGTATAATGTCTATCAAGATAAATAGCAACAAGAAGAGTGGAGCCAAGCAGTAATTGTCATTCACTTGCAACATGACTCATGTTTTGGAGGAGTGAACATGGAAATGGAGGGGAGTCATAGGAATGTGATAAAACGAAGCAAGCATTTCATCTACAGGAGTTGTCTATAGTAATACAGCCTGGGCACTGGGCAGTAATGGTACATACTTAAAAGTCAAACACTTCTACAGTAATAATGGGATCAGGCACTGGAGAGATGGCTCAGAGGTTAAGAGTACTGGCTGCTCTTGCACAAGATCTGGGTTCCCAGCACCCACAGGGTGGCTCCCAACCATCCATAACTCCAGTTCCATGGGATCCAACACCCTCTGTGGGCATTGTACACATTTTATACACTTACTTACATTCAGGCAAAACACTCATACACATAAAATAAAAATAATTAAAAAAATAAGAGCAAGGCTGTGGGAGACTATGTAATCAAATTTGAAGGATTTTTTTTTTGTGGGGGTCAGTTTGTTTATTTGGAGACAGGGTCTTTCTCTGTAAGTCAATCTGGCCTTGAATTTGATTTTCCTGCCTCTGCCTCTTGAATGCACAGGTTATAGGCAGCTAGCACTAAAATTTCTAACATATATAAAAATGATAGTGTCCTGAAGAGTTAGCTATTGATAGAATATAAAATTCCAAAGATGGAAGGAAAAGGGCTGTTAAAGGACTCTGCAGAGTTAATCAATAATTTCCTATTTGCCCTGTTACCCTTAAGTTTATATGATAATTTATGACTTCTTTAACTTTCCTTAGTTGCGTGATCTAAAACCTTTACCAAAAAGAACAAATACCCCATCTTGTGGCCAGGAAAAAACTAGCACTTCCCTCAAAAATGACTCTGCTACCTCAACTGTGCCCTCCAAGCAGAGTATCCTAATACCTGACGTGTGCTGAGGAGCACCTTAATCATGAGACTCCTCTGTTCAAAGGATTCCCTTCCTGACTTTCCAGAGGCTTCAGCTAGGGTGTGTTACTTTCAAGCTGAGACTTTTGGACAATATTCTGCAGAAGATAGGATAGAATCAGAAACACTTCAATACGTATTAGAGACTTTTAAAAGAAAGGAAGGCTTTGGAGAGGCTTAAGTAGTCAGTTACAAAAGAATGTGTTCATTTTATAAACCTTTTTCAGTTGCCTATTGTATTTTTATGCTTTGGATAAAATGGTGAGCTAGATGTTGCTCCTCTCCTGTGGACAGCTATGGAATCGTGGATCCCGGGGCAGCAGAAATGTTCATGGAGGAAGCACCGAAGTGTTCTTACTTAGTCAGATGCAAAGGTAGCCTTCGGGCAACTGTTCCAGGCAAAGAGTAAGAATTTTCCAGATGCACCACAAAAAAAGAGGAAAGCCCACACCTTGTAAAGGGAATCGTGCTGCATCAGGGTCAGTCGCTCCATGTGGCGGAAGTCCAAAACACAAAAGTGCCAGCATTCCTCAAGGGCCTCAGGAAGTTATGTGGGTTTTGTTGGTCTGCCTTGCTTACTTGTTTTGTGCTTTCTCTTCCTCTTCCTTCTCCTCCTCTACTTCGTCCTCCTCCCTCTTTCTAATGTTTTCTCCAACCTTTATTTTCACAGGTGGAAATTGAACAAAAAAAGAGTTTGAAGCCAGACTTTGAGGGAGATGACTTGGAAAATCCCAAGGAATGTGGGATACAGTGACAGTGACCTACAGCAAGGAACGCTGACCAGTGATGTCTTCCTGAATAGCTGAAGTTTAAGACAACATCTGCTGTGGTCACTCCCTGCCGGGGTCAGTCTATCGGACTTTCCTGTGTGCAGTTACCTGTGTTTCACAGGAAACCCTGAGGGGGCCATTTTGAATAGGCTCCTGACTCTGCATCTGGTGCCCTGGCTTCTGAAGCATATTGTATAATTGAGCCTCCTTGCCTGGTTTCTGCTTATATCACAGCTCTGGTATGTGGTTTGTGGTGACCGTTAGAGACTGGAAGAGAACCTCCAACATCAGTGTTGGCAGTTTCTTTCTGATAGTCATTTGTTATTTGTGAGTTTCTGGACAAAGCAGTTCTGAGAAGTTATGAATTCATTTCTATTGCTTCTTCTACAGAAGATTCAGAAAAGGTTCAAAACCATTTCCTCTGTGGGTATAGTAGACCTTTTGTAGATGTCTCTACTCTTTAAATGTTGGCCTTATCAAACAGTTTTCCATGTTTCCCTCCTAGTTCTAGATTGTTCAGATCAAAATTTTTTTTCAACCTCTACTTTTCCATTTGCTAACCTAAGTCACAATACACAATGAGAAAAGTCCCAATCCAACTCTTCAAATTCAGTGATTCGACTTAAATTCTATAAATGAATTGGATTGGATTCATATTGTGTTGGAGGGTAAGCAAAATTGAACTTATTTTTCTTCATTTGAAGGAAAAGGGCCATTAAATGTAAGATTATATTCAGTTCAAGAGATAGCTTCAATTATGGTGAATTCCCAAATTCTCATTGAAAAACAGAACACTTCTAATTCCTGAAACAAAAGAGTTTGTGTGTGTGTGTGTCCCACATCATTTGGGAGTTCTTTTTATACCTCATAGGCAATAGACTGTTGCATGTCCCTTTAACTCAAACTTCATAGGAAATTTAAGTTGAAAAGACAAAGGCTAAATTGAAGGAGTTTTGTTTCAAATTCAGAGTTTTATCATCACAGTATTGTAATAAATCAAAAAGGCAGAAGACTCCAGGGTAGGGATGGGAAAGCCATATTCCCCAGTATTGTGAACAAGAAGTCCTGATTCCAAGAGTCCGGACAATCTCCTTTCCCTCATTTGTTCCTGTGCTCCTCTGCTGATACATTTCTTGGTGTTTTCTTTCATGAAGAATAGAGAGGACAGAGTAAGTACTCTATCATATATTCAGAAGATATGGAAATAGACAAGGTTGGAATTTACAGATTCAAGATTAAATTCTTCAGTTCATATTCAGTAAAATCAAACTGTGTACTGACACTAGGTTTTAGAAATCATTGCAGTGTTTTGAGCTATCTAAGCATCAGACTGAAACTACAGGCATAAATGAGAATGCCTGTATTTGGAGCTTTTGAAATGCGACCCTTATCAGTACAGAGTTGAGTGTGTGTGCCTGTGTACTTAGATGTGTTTATTGATGAGGGTACTGGGGAGACTCAGTTTTATAGCAATTCACATAAAAATGTTTTCTTAAGGAAATGGGAGTTCATTCTTGAACCAGGGATATATCATGGCTATTCACAAAGCTAATGCATTCTATCTGTGGTAATAGATATTTAAACAGCTCTACATGGTATATTAGCCAGGACTCATCTGGATGGAGGATTAGGTTCAATTATAGCTACTGTATTTTATGAGAGACGTTAACAAGTTGACTCTGTCCATAGGCAGGTAACAAGGTTTGTGAAGATTCTATAAAGAACAGGGGAACAGCTCTCATGCAGAACAGAAGGTAGAGCTAGGAAGGGAGTACAGAGAAGTTTGTAATGATATAATAGCTGTCTCAGAGTTTCTGTTGAGCTATAAAAAGGAAGGGGAGTAAGATTTATTTTGCATAATTTCAAAGGCAAAAATAGGAACAAAGAACTTTACAGATGGCAGGTGCTTGAGAATTTTCTCATAGGAGTTGTTCCAAAGACAAGTAAACTAAGGCCAGCCTGGTCTACATAGTGAGTTCCAGGACAGTTGGGATGACAGGAAGACCCTGTCTCAAAAAGACAAAAAAAGATTTCCTGCTGCAGCAAATGCCCAGAGGTTCAGATCCACCCATCCCAGGTACTGTGAGAGGAAATGTCACGTTGGATTTGGGATAGACACTGAGGAAAATCTTTTCTATATAGTCTCAGAAGGAATGAGGCTCCCTAACTCCATTTTTTTCCTTTGTGTTTTTATGCTGTTAGAATACTGTGAGGTCCCCTACAGGACTTTGTCAAGCAATTTCAAAGCATGTCCTTTCCACCATTCCACTGAAGCCCTTAAGATTCCCCAGAGGATGTGCAGTGGGTTGGAGAGTGGGCAAGATAAATGGAAGTCATCCCAGCACCTTCCTCCCAAGCTCAGCACTGGGTCAAATATCTGCCTCTCCTGCTAGCATCACATGCACAGTGTCTGCTTTGCCTTCTCCCTCCCACCCCCTTGACTAAGATCTCTGCTTTGGTACTTTTACCAGACTCATTGAGGTTTTGTTGTTCATTTAACCAAAAGTTGAGGAAATCCTTTCTGTGCTATCTACAGTCTAGAAAGCAAATGATTACTAGTTTTAAAAACCTACAGCCTTGGTCCCATTAAATTATTTTGTCTCCTCTACTGTGTTTAGGGAACTATGGAAAACATGTAGGGAGCTGAGGCACAATATATTTTAGTACTTACAAAGTTATGTAAGAAATACAGTTGTGGGGCTGGAGAGATGGCTCAGCAGTTAGAGCACTGGTTGCTGCTCTTGAAGAGAACTGAGGTTCTGCTCCCAGCACCCACATGGTGGATAACAGCTGTCTATAACTCTAGGTCCAGGAGATCCAGCCCTGTTTTGGCCTCCGCAGGCATCAGGCAACATGGGTGCACTTATATACATGCAGGTAAAACACTCAGACACAAAAAGGCAAATTACCTTTTTGATATGCAGGCTCTATATTTGCTACCTTGAACCTTGGTTTTCACGTTTCTTATGGTTACAAAAAATTCCTAGTCTGTGTTACCAGTACCGTAGTAACGTGAGACTATGAAAGGTGGATTGGCTTTACCGATCAAATTAGAGCATAAATTAGATGTCACATAATATCAAGAACTATGTTTTGAGTCTAGGGCTTGCTTTTCTACTTAACAGGGCAAGAAGCCCAAAAAAGAAATGTGTTCATTATAATATGTCAAACAAGAGGTCTGGGGATGTAGCTCAGTGATAGAACACTTCTCTAGAGTGTGTGAGGTCCTGGGTTCAACTCTCAGTATTACAAAACAAGCAATGAGGGAGGGAGGGAAAGAGCTTTCTTGTAGATACAGTACTAGTTATTCCTTTTAAGTCTGCACTTTCTTCTTATTAAATATTAGCTGGACAATTTTACTGGTTTTTTTCTTTTCTTTTTCTATTTCTCTCTTCCTCTACTGTCTACCTTCCTGCATGACTATCAGGTCTTATAATCCTCAGACCATTTATTAATTTGAAATAAGACTAATAGTTCTGTTCAGCTGCATGGTGGGACCGCGAACAGGAGTTTATCTCCCTAAAAGTTCATACTCCTGGGAAATATGATACATGAAGACCAGGAACCTATCCTTTGTGTTTCCCATGCCCAACAAAAGCGTGAACGACAGTAGCATTCAGTCCCCTTGAAATCCTGATTTGTGGGGCCAAACATATTCATAAAATAAATGGAAGTTATTGAGTAACCGATAAATGTTTTTTGAAAGAAACCCAACCCTGAGACTACTTATCCCCTACTTCGCATCAAATAGTCCTCTTACAACTAGCAAGCAGCTTTTATTTTCTGGAGGATTTACGTAATTTTGCTCTCTTTTTATTCCTGCCTCCAGAATCAATGAGCAAGTGTCAGCACTTAAGCACTTAATGTGCCGTGACTCTGAACTGCAGCGTTCCTTACTCATATTGACGAACAATATTGGGTTCAGAGGTGCAGGAACACAGATGCTGTCTACAGTCAGGTTATTGATTCAGCTTTATTGCTGCCAATCAAACAGATCCATGAGCCTCCGTCTTGCCCATTAGAATGGCTAGCGGGAGAGGCAGGCATCTGATAAAGCGCACAGCCAGTCCTGGAGTGCCAGGTCTTTGTTCTCCCAACATTAACCGCTGGCCAGTACTACTGTGCATTTGTCATATCACCATGTGAGATGGAGGAAGGTGGAGGTTCAGCAGCTGAAATCGTGATTTCAAAGTTGATTTGTATTTTATAGTAAGTTTAGGGATGGAAAAAATGAGATTGAGCTGGGGTTTTGGTGAGTTTGCTTGCTTGCTTGCTTGCTTGAGATAGGGATCTCACTGTGTAGTCCTGGCTGGCCTCAGACTCACAGAGATCCACCTGCCTCTACCTCTCAAGTGCTGGGATCAAAGACGTGCACCATCATGCCTGTCTCTCCCCCTCCCCCCTGAAGAGCCTTGGGAATTAATGGTTGCAAGTAGAAAGCACTGCCATCTGACCTACTTTTATAAATTCCCCCAGTGGGAAATGGTAATTTTAACTCTTCTAAGAACAATCATTGTAAGTTAATCCTAGCATATCTAGAGTTGAGGTTATGGTAAGAATGGAATTTGACAGAGAATTCAAACAAAACTAACAAAAAAAATTTTAAACATACTATTTAGTAAATTATTCTTAGCACTTCTCTGACAAATCCCTTCCAAACCATGACAACATTTTATATAAAATTAGTGATCGTATTCTCACTATATTTCTAAAACATTTTCTAAAAATTGTCAGTGTCATATCAATTCCCTACAAATCACCATGTTTAAAATTATGTTCTTTGTAAATGAGATTGGCTTTGGATATTATCACTCGTGGTTACATATTAAAGGTAATCTTAAGTATAGAGACAAATGCATGTATTAGTATTATTTTCTCATGATTAGCTGAAGAAAGAACATGGAAATTACATATTTCTTCTACTGTGCCTTAAATTCACCTATGGAAATCTAGTCCTTTGCTTTAAGAATTGAAAAGGAAAAATTGTATCACTGATCTTGCAATTCCAAGCCCATAATGGTAGAAGTTTTCAATAGTAATATTTTCTGCAGTACCTGGAAAGATGAAAATAATAACTGGATGTAATTAAAAAGCTATGAAAGAATATACTAAAGGAAATAAAATTTCAGTATAAATTTCTATAGCTAGAAATTACAGCATTGGCCACTAAGCATCAAAATAACATGAATGACGGGGCCATCTCAAGTCCAAAAGTAAGATGCCATGGGAGAAAGAAGAGTTCTTAGTAGGGAGAAACAACAGAATCATTCAACTCAGCAAGTGTTGTCTCAAGTGTCTCCTCCAGATAGAGTGCTGTGTCAGCTTCCCTGAAGGGAACAGAGGCCCCACATTAGGATGCTGGAGAATTGTTTACATTATTGGTGGACACGCCATAATGGTTTCATGAAAGGAAATGTGGGGATTTCTGTGAGTCTCTAAAGGACATAAGCATGGACAATCATTATGTTAACTGACTTGTTATTTCCACATCAGACATCGGTTTCCAGAGATCAAAAAGAGAGAGCTGAGCTGTTTCTTCAGATTCTTTCCAGCTGTAGTTTTACGGGTTGTTTCACAAAATATCCTTTCTTACCACGTTGAATTGATATGCTATGTCAGTGTGACTCTTCATACATCCTTAGGAACCTGGAAGTTTAAGTTTAGAAGGTTGGGAAAGCCAGCTAGTTTACATTTTTCCTACTCATGTGTCTACCCTTCTGCATCCACCCACTTGGCAGAAATGCCAAAACCCTGCAATCCTCAATTTTGCAAATGTCTTCAAAGAGGATGGTGAGGATCAGCTGGTTTTCTGTTGCTCCAAAAGTTCTGCTGGAGTCACCCAGTGAAACTGTGTTGTGAGTGTGGAAAACAGACAGGTCTCCCCGATAGCTACTAGGATGTGAGTACCCCATAAAACATAAGTAGGTCTAACCTTCCAAGTTACTGAGGACATTAGGATGTTAGATGCTAGGATGATAAATGACTTAGGATACATCCTTTTATATTAAAGACTGTGGGAAAGGCAGGTGTGGTGGCTCACACCTTTAATCCCAGCAATTGGGAGTCAGAGGCAGATGGATCTCTGTGAGTTCAAGGCCAGCCTGGTCTACATAGTGAGTTCCAGGCCAGCTGGGGCTACAGAGAGATCCTGTCTCAAAAAGAAGAAGAATAAAAAAGACTATGGGAAGTGAGGGAGGGGAAAAACAGAAGCTATTCTGGAACTGTGTGTAAGTTATGACAAAACCAGACAAGAGACCAGGATAAATATGTCCCCAATCATAAACACATAGTGCAAAAAAAACTTTTAAGTATAGACAGCTACAGAGTAGGTCTCTTGTATGATGTGTTTGAATATGGTTTTAGTTTCTTTTCTGGCTGTCCTTAGCTAAAAGGATCAGTTCCAGTTGGTCAGAAGGAATTCCAGCATGTTCTCCCTGTTCACACCCATGTTCTGCCTCAGTTGAAACCCTCGGTTCTCACTGTGGACACCAGTCACACTGTAACTGAAGCCTAAGTGCTACCACTGCTCTCCCCCACCTGCTTGAGGACGAGTAACCCAGGTGAGACTCTCCAGGGTTGGTTCTGCGAAGGCAGATGCTCACTCAGCTCCCAACAGCAGCACAGCCTGTTGTATTTAAGGGTTGGTTTTCAAGAATAGGGGTGAGAGAACAGAATGATGGACATTCCTCTCACACTCAGCCAGCATTCATTTATCTTTGTATGTTCACTTGCCAACAGCATCTGGAGAAAACTTTGTCATATTCAGGGGATTAAGCAGGATCAATGCTTTAGACAAGGAGGGACCGAGGCATGCACCTCCTCACCCTCCATTTCTGTAGTGTCCATAGTGAATTTCAGTGTATCAGGATGGATGAACCCAGAGTCCCTCGAATGGCTCAGCTGATCTGAAGCTTGTATTTTCCTTCATCATCCATCCTCCCTCAGTGTAACTTCTTGCACTATTGTGGTTAATGTTATGTAAAATCAGTTTACTTTTTAAAAAATGTGCCTATGTAATAAAGTCTACACACTGGTTATCTCTGTAGAGGTGATGATGTTCTGTTTCAGTTGTTCTGCTGAATAATCTGTAATATCTTTTTTGAGCTATGAAAAAGAACTATTAATAAAATTTTTTAAACAAAGTGTCACTTTGCAATGTTTAATGAAGACGGGAATCATGAATAGTAAATGTTTACTAATAAGGCCCATTACAGCTAATGTGGTTATCATAAATTAACAAATGATTTGTTTAAATTAGTCTGGATAAATGTATCACATGTATTCTAGATCCACTTATTATTTCCCATTTTGTGCCCAATTCTATGAGAAAACAAATCAAAATTAAGATTTTCTTGGTCCACTCTAAATGAGAAATGTTAAGAAGCCCATGAATAATGAGTTTGCCTCAAATTCCTGGCATACCGTCGGTGTTCAACAAGTTATCAGTCAACTTATGGATCCTAATTACTGATGTCAACATGAACTCAGATGGAGAATCAGTATGGACTAGAATATTTAGGAAGTCTTCACAGGAAAGATAGCTTTCAGGAGAGGTCTGGAACTAGTAAAATTTGGCTCTGTAGAAATAGAAAGTCACTTAGGGTTGGGAAGAGGCAAGAGCAGAAATTCTGTGTTGGAAGATCAGCCTGAGCTGGGTGAAGGACTCATGCTTACCAGGAAATGAAGTTGATGGTTAGACTGAGTTATAGTAGAACTTCCACCAGCCCAAGGCTACACTCAGTCTAGTAAATGTTATGAAGTCATTTTGGAATCCTGCTAATAAAGTATGATTCTGGAAAGACTGGTCAGTCAGTAACATGTTAGATATTTTGGAGTATTGGAAAGATTAAAGGCAAAGAAAAAGGCATAAATGTTCTCTTTTGGAGTAAACAAAGCAATAAATAAACAGCACTGTGTTTTGTTTAGTTCACATCAACCTGGGACATTTTATTACAAAATACAAGTGTCTGCTGTGGGAGAACTCAGGCCAGCTCAGTGGTGCCTGTTTCAAGACATCTCTATCCCGAACACAATCTGGAACACAAGAGTTCCAAGTAGGAACAGAACACATCCTTAAATTGCAGATTCTGGAGAAGATTCTGCTTCCCACTTGTCTCCCGTCACTTTCATAAATTTGGAGACCAAACTGTAGGTTCCACATTGTTACAAGGATTTGACCTAGATCCCTCCCACCTCCACCCCATACCCTTTAACAGCCCAGGAGAATACTCAAGAAACAGGCCAAGCATGCTCACCAACGTTCAGGATTGGGGTGGGGGAACAGGATGAGAGAAAGTGATGAGGGTTAAAATGTTGTCTGTGCCATTTGTTCTGAAGTTCTCTCAGCTCCTTGATCGCATCTCCATCCATCCGTGCTGGGGTCGCTCTCTTTTAATATTAGCACACAGTTATGTAATGCTTAGACTCTGGTGCAACCAGAGTATAAGAATTTGGGGTGTGCGTTTTCATTTAATGTAAGTAGTCCACTCTCTCCATTCTACAAGGCAGAAAACTATTTCAGGTTGGTGGAGGTGGCAAATTCTTACCAAAAGTTAGGAACTGATGCTGAGTAGCTAGAGCACAAAACTACAAAACAACTCAAAATTGAGTATCAGATAGTTCTGCTCCCAAAGGTCACTTCCATATCCCATGGATGGAGTCCCCTGTTAAACACCTTCTTCTTCAGCCCTAATGCAAGTAAGTAGGCTTAACTCTTCAAGCCCCCAAACCACTCTATGACTGCCAGTGAAAACTAAAACCTAACAACCGATCTGTGCTGCATAGGGTTAGTGTCAACTTGTGTAGCCCAAAAACTACTCCAAAAAGAGTGGGCAACATGGGGCACCTGGGAAAAGAGGTGGAGCCATGGCCATTTTGGAACTCTGAGTGAAGCACGTGGCTGCAGGGGAACAGCTGCCGGTGGGTTATGAGAAGCCATTTCTTTGTAAGTCATTCCCTCCCAAATGTCATATAAACTATGCAAAATTCAAATACAACTGTGGTTGGTCAGTTTTATTAACAAGCATCAGAAACAGGAGACCTGGTGACTGAGAGCCAGTATCCCAGAGGGTAGGAAGGAAAAAATTTAGTGAAACAACTTGACACACCTGGATAGAGGGAGCCTCAATTGGGGAATTGCCTCCATTGGACTGGCCTGTGGCCATGTCTGTGGGGCATCTTCTTGATTATTGAGTGATATGAGAGGACCCAGCCCACTGTGGGTGGTGCCACCCATGGGCAGGTGGGCCTATGTTGTATAAGAAAGCAGGTTGAGTGGGGGCAAAAGGGGGCAGAGGAGCAAGCCAGTAAGCAGCGTTCCTCCATGGCCTGTGCTCCAGCTCCTGCCTCCAGGTTCCTGCCCTAAGTTCCTGTCTTGGGCTCCCTGATGAACGTGGGAGATGTAAGACAAATAAACCCTTTTCTCCCTAAGTTGGTACTGGTCAGAGTGTTTTGTCACAGCAATGGAGAAACAATCTAGAACACCATCCTTAGTGGGATTGTGTTCTAAAATGAATATTCTTTTTTCTTAATATTTGTTTTTTAATTTACGTGTATGTCACATGTGAGGGTGCTCACAGAGGCCAGAAGAGGGCCTCTCTTTGGAGGGAGAGTTACAGACATTTGTGAACTGCCTGATATGAGTACTGGGAATCAACACAGGTTCTTTGGAACAGCAGCAAATGCTCTTAACTCCTGAGCCATCTTTCCAGCCCCTAAAGTGAATACTCTTAAACCTCATATAAATACAAAGTAGGCCAAAGGGTAGGCTAAAGGATAAATCTTTTTAAATGACAGTTGCTCCATTAACCCTGAATTTATTTCTAAAATCCTTCCTCTAGATTACAGTCATTGCTAACCAATATCCTGAACAATGTGTTCCAGTTCATGGCTAGTGGGAGGAAGTCACTAAAATGAGCCACACAGTTATTCCCTGAGATTTACTAACATGAATTGACTATTTCAGACTAGAAAGCATCTTTTATCTGCATCACAGACACACTGAGTGGAACAGCAGGCCAAACAACAGGAATGCCAATAAAATGACCTCACTTTCCACTTCACCTTCATGATGCAAATGGGTTTAGTCCCATTCCATCTCAACCTGTCAGGCACCCAGTGAAGGATCTTTCCAAACAAAAGAATTCAGTCATAGGGGCTGGAGAGATGGCTCAGCAGTTAAGAGCATTTACTGCTCTTGCAGAGGACTCAGGTTCAATTTCCAGTGCCCACATGGTGACTACGGACTGTCCTTAACTCCAGTTCCAGAGGAATCTGAAGCCCTCTTCTGACCTCCACGGCATAGCACAACGTGGGTGCACTCACATACATGCAGGTAATACACTCATAAAATAAAAATAATAAAATATTTTTTAAAAAATCATGCATTTACCACAAATGAAAACTTGCTCAAAAGTTACAGATAGGGACTGGAGGGGTGATTTAGTGGTTAAGCGTGCTTATTGCTCTTGCAGAGGACCCAGGTTTAGTTCCCAGCACACACAAGAGGGCTTAAGTCTGCCTGTAACTCCAATTTCAGGGGATCTGATACTCTCTGGGCATTTGCTGGCGTGTAGTAAACTCATGCAGACACACATACATACATACAAATAATATCTTTTAAAAAAATAATTTGAGAATTTCATACATGCATATAAGGTAAATTTTGATCAAATCCATGCCCACTCCCTCCCCTCCAACTCCTCCCATATCTCCCCATCACTTTTTCTGATAACTTCTGTACTCTTTCTTCTTTTTTTTATGGGGCTTTTGCTACTCTAACATTCCCCCCTCTGAAGACGTAACTCCAAAATCTTTTAAGGATTAGATAAGAGCTCCCAAATACTTTCAACATTTTTGGCCTTTGGAATGGAGTATGTTGCTAACAGGCCAAAGAACGTTTTGATTTTTTAGCCAAGAAATTGACTACTTTTCTTTGGGGTCTTTGTACACTAGCCAGTTCCTACCTCCTATTTTTATCATGCCATCCTCTGAAGAGGTTACCTAATTTGAGAATAGGGAATCAGGACGCAGACTGCTCTGGCTTCTTCCATGCTGAACAGGGATGCCGGGTGAGGCAATTGGGGTACCCCTTCAGTGGGTCTATCTAAAAGACTCCCAAATTGTATAACTCTTGTCTCTAAGGGAAGAAAGTCCTTGAATCATGAATAGGAGGTGTGAAGAGTAAAGGCAAGAGTAATTAGCATTACAAGTTCTAGACAGGGAACTAGAGAAAACTCAGAACAGGGTAATTTTCAATCCTCTGTTGGGTTCCTCCTCATTTTTCTTTTGTCTTCCAAGGCTGGACTGGAGAGTGATGGATTCAGAATTTGCTTTCAGGCATTTTGATAGTTGTTGGAGTGGTTAGAATCAGTGTCAGTTCCCTCTCAAAGGCTTCATCATGTAGAGGCAGGATCCAGGTGCTCTCAGGCAGTCCCCTGCCTTCTCAGCCCCTATACCAGAGGGAGGCCAGAACTGGCACTCTCTGGTGGTCTGCTGAGATCACTGCTGCTACACCGATCTAAATATCTTTTTGAGAAAAAACTTTTAAAAAGTTACAGATAAAATTTTCAGAAAAAGTTAAAAATCAAAGTACCTGGCCAGGGGCTGGTGAGATAGTTCAGTGGGTAAAAGTTCTTGCTGCACAACTCTGGCCACCCAGGTTCAATCCCCGGAACATATACAAAAAAGCCGGATGTGGTGGCTCACAACTGCAACCCCAGCCCCAGCACTCCTACAATGAGATGGGAAACAGAGGAGACCCTGGGGGTGCTCAGCTACACAGCAGAAAGGCAGCAGAAATAAGAGAGACCGTCTCAAAAACAAGGTAGAAAAGAGAACAGCTCCAAAATTGTCTTTTCACCTCTACATGAGCTCTCTCTCTCTCTCTCTCTCTCTCTCTCTCTCTCTCACACACACACACACACACACATGCACACACACACTCTCTCTCACACACACACACACTCTCTCTCTCTCTCTCTCTCACACACACACACACACACAAACATGCACACTCAATCAATCAATCATTAATCCTTTTTTTTTTTTTTAATTCCTGGACCACTTTCCTCCCGGACCACAGTCTAGGTCAGCAGAGAGGAAGAGGTTGAATTAATTTTCCATTTGTCCAGAGCAAACCCTA